CATGTTGACAGGCCAGTGCTGGCAGGTCCAGGCTCCTGCTGTTGGCTTTGTGGCACACTAACACTCAATTCTGGCACAAAAAGGGTGTTTGAAAGAATGTCTTACTGGGTTAGCAAATACCAGAACTTTTTCTAGTAATGTGTCCAAAATGCTGCTTGTATAGGATTTGTCACTTTTGTAAGAAAAGAGTTAAAAAAAAAAAATAAAAATCACACACACACACACACAAACTTATAACCCCCCACTGTTTGATGCTGTTATATAAGATTTTATTTAAACTACCTCTCAGCGTGAAATTCAAACATTAGGTAAGTTTAATAAGGTTTGCTCACTGTCATGTTATGTAAAAGTTGTAGTGAATGCCAAAATTACAAAAGTTTTTCACCAAAAAGGAAAAAAGTTAAGTCTTTTTTGAATGTGCGTTGGAAAGTATCCAATAGTTTCAAGTTACTGTAAACTCTGTTGTATTCTTTTAACTTCTGTAGTTTCAACCTTGCAAACTCCAGCTGCTGGACAGGAAATAAATCATAACCACAAGTTTTCATAATGACAGTCTGCTGGGGAAAACAATTTTATATGCAGCTTTGTCATTTGGCTATAGATAACCTCGTTCACCAAATTACCAAATTAATTTAGTCGTCTTTTTTTTTCTTCAGTACTCGAGATGTGAATTTGGTTAATGGTATTCTGTAATGGATGCGTGCCACAAATTACATTGTCTTGTTTGCTTCTTTTTTGGAATTTTAATGATGAGTTTATTATTGCAGATGTGAATATTGCGCATACAACTTGATTTCTGTATAATTGTATAAAATACAAATGGAGAACGTTTTGAGTTCTTACCCCGTATTTAGAGGTGATGTATCAAACTAGCCTTATGTTGCAATTTTACCTACAGAGTGTTGCACTTCTTTTAAACTGGATCATACCATCTTGGTAGATGTAGATAGATTTTTATTTTTTTTTTTGCATGAATGTGCTTTGGTTTTATTTCTTTTTAATTGAAGTTCAGTTCTCTTAAGCTCTGTTTTCAGTGTTTGTGTTTACTACTTGCGATCATGTAGTTGTGCCTTACATTGTGAAAGACTTTAGTCCAGCGTGCACTATAATTCCTAAACTCCACAATTTGGAAGGTGGCTGTGGAGTGGGATGAGATGACGACGCCATGCATCAGCCTGTTCTGTATAAATTATGATGAAATGTTATTGAAATGTAATTTTTGTTTTCTAACCTGTTAAAGAAATGAATAATAACAATAATAAAAAAAGTTAGACCTTTCTAATAGAGCAGTTCTGTAATTCAAAACTACCTTGCCCCGTTTCAGACAGCAAAGCTACTGGGGGATATGTGGGGAATATATCATTTTACAAATGAGCTGTTGGGAAGCCACACATCTAAGAACAAACTAAATGCGCCAGTTTCTTAGACTTGTGAGGAGTTGCAACAAAAGCTTTCACATTCCTGAGGAGGCAGTGGTAATGTCTCTTTTTCAAATCTGTTTTTTCACAGGTTAAATTCAGAATAGTTTTTCCATTCCCAATAAGTGCACAAGTCTGCTGGGTATCCTGTGTTCAGTTAAAGTCCTGTCACTGTCTGTGTTCAGACATGGCACTGAGTGCAGTTGGATAACTGGCATAACTGGAAGACTTGGAGGCAGCAGGGAATAGGAAAGTGGAGCTGTGTTCAGAGACAAGCCAGGTGATGAACGTGTGTGTGTGGGATCACTCCCATGACAAAGCCACTGTTGAATTGTGAGAGCATTACGGAAGTGTTTAGCTATTGAAGCAGGCCTTCCTGGGGGTTCTGTGCAGATAGTGGAGAAAGATGGAGAGATGTCTCCTCTGAAAGACTCAAGTCAGGAAGTTAATTTCTGCCTTGACTGCTTTTTGAGGCATCTTTCTCTCCAGACCACAGAAGAGCCTGTTGAGCTTACATCTCACTAAGGACAGCCTGTGTGTGAATACTTCCCTCCCTGGGGTATCCTCCTTGGAGAGGTACTGGCCTCCAGGAAACATCCAGTCTCTGGGACTACTTAGTTGTCTGGTAAACTCAGCAAATCTGGCTTAAGGTCATTTTGGCAAAAATACAGAGATGCAAAACAGTGCCTTGATTCTGCTAGTGCAGAGTGCAGAGCTTAGTCTGCCAGGTGTGCCTTTTTTGGGCTTGAAATTACTTTCTGTCCTTTCAGCACTGGCTTGAAGATCCCATGAGGCTCTGGTGAAGCCTCAGGGGTGGCAGGGGGAGGTTGTGGTGTGGCGTGCAGCTGAGCTTGGGCAGATTGAGTACAGCTGTGTAAGCCAAGCTGTGGCCAAGTGGTTGCAGCTTGTGTGGTGTCCTAGAGCAGATCTGCTGTCTCTGCCGTTTTGCTCGCCTGCTTTACACATTCACCACTTGGCATAAAGCCTGAGTGGATGTTTGTTTGTTCTTTTTTTTTCCTGGGAAGATGTGACAAAGACTTGCCCATCACAGGCACGAGGGGAAAAGCAGGAAGAATTGAGTGTGCTGAACCAGGTAAGTGTGCATACAGATATACAGCCTCCAGACTGTAGCTTTCATGTACATTGAAGGAGCTCAAGTAGATAAAATGTACCACCACATCCTTGTGGGTGGAGCTGGGGAGGAGCAGGTTTAGGGGCAGCTCTGGAACACATGACTTGTTTGACTGTGGAGTACAGGTGAATGTGAAGTGAGTGATGACTTCCTCATGAATAATATGAACAACTGGAATGGCACTCCTATGCTCATAAGCAGAGTCCTCATGTGTGTGGCTTCTCTGTCCAGTTCCACCTGATGTAATTTCTGACATGGGATATTTTAAGGGCTAACTTTTCTACTGAAAGAGACTAGATGATCAGAATCACTTAGAGTGGCTTTAGGGAAGTCTCCCTTTCTCTCTTGAATATGGCTAATCTCAGGGCGTTCGCCAGAGCTTGGCCTAGTGAAAGCACCCTCCCGCTGTGATGGTAATCTGCATGAACATTGTAGCAAGAAGTTTCAGGCTGTTCTGTGGGTCTCTTCTAGTAGCTCAAAAAGACAGAAAAGTAAAGGATTAACAGGGGCACACTCTGCTATGTGAACCACAGAGCTGGGACAGCAGTGAGGTTTGGAATGGTTTACTATGAAAGGAACACTCAAGTTTGTGAAGCAACTTGAACTCTAAAGGCTTTAATGGGTGTAAGCTGCAGAATAACAGATCCGTTGTTAATAAAATGGTGGAAAAACCTCAGGTAAGAGCAAAAATCCCCATAAAGCAGGGTATCATTGCACTTCTGTTCTTTTTATATATCCTGTAGCCTCTCTAGTTTAACTGAATGTTATAAGTAATTATGACCTCTTTGAAATAATCTCAGTTTAAACATTAGTGGAGAGTCAACACTATATATACTTTTACTGATCTGTCTCCACAAGCTCAATGTTAGTCCAAAACCATCTTGTGATATTATAGTTTAGTAGGTAGAGAATCATGAGTATCAGGAGCTATGGATACACAATTTTCACTTGATCTTGTTTGATCAAATCAGTTTGATCTTGGACTAAGCCTTCTAGACTTTTCTGGTGAATAAGCTCTCCTCGACAACATAGTTTTTTTTCCCATCCCGCTTTCTGGGAAATGACAAGCTGTATTAAAGCTTCCCTGGGTGGGAGGAGCCTCCTCCTAGCTGAAGCAAAGGAGCATCTAAGAGCGATACATTTATTATATGGCTCATTTTCCTTCTCCCAGTTTATTCCTACATCCTGTGATCAAAACTCCAGACTATCTGTCTAGTCAAGTCAGAAATCTGTTAGCTTCAGAATCTGAGGATATGCTGGAAGAAATAACTGTTTTATCACCACAGTAGTTTTCCACTGGCTGTGTCAGTGCTGTGCTGACACTATTAAATTTCAGAGGATTCAGCTGGGAAGCAGGAAGCAGTGCTTTTCTTGGTTTCATGTTGTGTGGTGTAACTGGAGATGGCCATTTCTATCTGTGACATCCATGTTTTCTGTAACAAGAAAAAATAATTTGTAAACAAAGGCAATATAAAGTAGTCTCAGTAGTCCAGATATATGCACCCACCAAAGCCTTTAGTTTTATTTAGTGCTTCTTCAGGCTCATCCTTCTAATTCCAGAAGTGAATGTGAATTATCACAGAACCAAGACTTTCCCAGGTTGCTCAGGCCACTACAGGCTGCTAGAGTCTGTGTCAGGGGCCAGGGATTTCCTGTGAAGGTTTCCTTTTTGGTTGGAAGGTGGGATTTTAATGCAGTGTTTTCTTACAATGGCAAAACTTGTTGCAGGCTATTTTACCCATTTTTTGTGTAATATTTGTTGGTTTAATGCTGTCCCTGGATTTTGGGCTCCCTTTTCCTCTGATTAAGACAGTCCCACTGCTGTCAGCATCACAAGTTCTGGCCCCCTCTGAGATCTGTCATGTGCAGCTACATGAATTTCGTCTTTTAGCATCACAATGACAGCATTCAGCTCCATATCTGCTGTCCTCCAGCTCTGAGGGCAGGTGGTGATGGCTGGAGAGATGGATTTAAAATGCATAACTTCCTTGTTTCTGTGCTGGTCCAGATGATCTGGGTTGCAGAAGTTGCGTTGTCTCTGAGTTGCTGTGATTGGACTTTACAAATTAGTTGGCAGCAGTACAAAATTAAGGTCTAGCTGTGCTTCTCCCACCCCAGGGGTTTTATTTTGCCTAGAAAGAGCTGTGCTCCCTGCTGTAATGTAGAGTAGACATACTGAGCTTTGGTGCAGAGTAGAAACACATGAGCAGGGCAGCCTGTTCTACTTCATGCTATGCTAGGATTCATAAAATCTGTTATTGACTCATCTGGTTGTTTCTTGTTTACACCCCAAATGAGTTAAAAATGTTACTTTAGCCAGAAAGCTGGAGTGGTAAATTGGATCTACAGCTCAGAGGAGTCATAGCAGAGGACATGAGATGTGCAGAGCACAGAGTGTTGCTTTGGCATGCCAGGCTTGCTTTGGCCTCTCTGGAACCATCAGTGGAGGAGGGTGAGATTTGCAGTATGGTGGTGGTGGTTGGGTAGGGGTTTCAGCTGTTGAGCTTTTCAAGGCTCAGAGAGGAAAGTGAGGGAAGAGAACAGAGGGCAGGACAGGGATGGGATGAAAAACAGCAGTGTGTTATAGGTCTGTACTTTCACGTGTCTGCTGAGCATTTGGTCTCTGAGAGAGAGGTGGGAGGGTGGCGAGGGGTTCACTGCGCCTGTGTTCCAATGCACTGCACGTGCTCCCCACGCAGTCTGTAGAGCACAGCACGGCAGCGAGAGGCAGGTCAGCAAGGGAGCTGAGGTGGGCACTTCACAAACCTCGGGAGATCTCAGAGGCAGCACGCAACATAACAGCCCTCTGCTTGGGACAAGTCCGTGGGACTATGGCACGTGGCTTCGTTTGGTTTTCTGTCTCCCTTTTGATACAGCTCAGCTAGCTCGAGGCCCTGGTCTGATGGTCCTCACCAGTATCAGTCTTATCCAGATCATCTTCCTTGCTGCCTTGCCGAATCACATCAGCTAAATTCATGAGCTCATCTTGGCTAGGAAAGTTTTTTTAAAAAAATATATTGGTCATGCTGAGATTAGGCTTCTTTTGAGCTGAAATAAGGTAATTAATTCAACCTGTGCTGGAAAAGTCTGCCTTTCCTGGGGCTGAAAGCACCCAAAGTCAACAAAATAACACCACATCCATTTGAAAAGAACCTTTCACTGAAGGGTTTTTCCTCTGATAAACTGGACTTGGGAGATACTGAAAAGATGGTAGCCACCTGGTTTGAAGACAGGTTTGGAAGGGAAAGGTAATATTTCAATCACAGGAGAGGGTAATGACTTCTTGAGTAGATACCTATAGTAGTTACCTATTCCAAGTACTAAACAGTGATTTGGAAGTTGAAAGAATGCACTCATTGGTTTTCCCTATGGAAGTCTATCTACTGTGATTTACTCTTAAGAATTAGTATTAGTGGTAGGTGAATTTCTGTGTATTAGGCATTAGAGAACAAAATGCTACTTACAGGAGAAAAAAAAAAAATGCTTCTGTGAAGTGCCTATCGCACTTTCAGATGTTACGTACAGCGCTGTTACTAGAAATGTGATGTGTGAAAATGAGGGGTAAATTTACATAACAGTGGAATTGATCATACCATCTGAGTCTGAAACTGGAAGTTCTGTGGTGTCCATAGATGTGCATGATACAGTTTTCTGATCTGAGTACTACAGTATATGAGTTGGATGGGAAGGTGTTGTTTTGGTGTTAACTTCTCTGGAGGGGCTGACCATCTTCATTTCTGTGACACAAGAAATGGCTTTTTTTTTTTTTTTTTGTCAGAAATGATAATGTTTTCTAACAGGAATACAACCTGCTATCATCCCTGATACAAAATTTGTACATATTTAACAGCAAAAATCCTGTAACAAGTGTATGAGCCAGAGCACTGGCATGTTACTTTGTTTTGGCCCAGTGTCACAACTGTAATAGATTCTTATCACAGCATGGCCACTTTTAGGCTGAGATCCTCCTGTAGGAAAAAAAATAGGGAAACTGTAGTTGTGTAATTAGAGAAGGAAAAAAATATTGTACTGCTTACCTTGGCAGTCTCTGTCTGAGCTTGTAGCAAGAAGACTGCTATGTACTGACAATACCTATTTTCATGCTGCATTAGGAAAGTATTTTGCAGGCTGCAGACTGTGGAAAAATAGGAAGAAGTGATATAAATTTCCTCATGCTGTCAGTCCAATTTTGTACCACAATGTCTGATTATGATTAAATAATTAAATATGTACTCATCTTTTCTGATTCCTAATAGGGCAATGCACCCTGATAGGGTTAGTTTGTTGTGTGGGAAGCTTTGTAATTTCAAAAAGTTAATTCTGCTAGCATTTGTTTTAATTACTTTATCATTGTGCAGCTGGGGTGCTTTTGAGTCTAGCTGAGGATCATAAAGAGAAGTTTCCATTCGAAGAGGACTAAATCATAACTGAAGTTAGAGAAAAACAAATTTCAAAAGTTAGAGAGGAAGGTCCTGTTTTTATTCTGTTTCAAAGAGGTCCATACAATGGCTGCTACATAGGGAAGTGGCTGCACTTGGGCCAATGGTGGGTTTGAGTTCTCCCTGGGGCATGTGCATGAGCTGGTGCTGCTGCCCCAGGTGCCCCTGGTTGGGTGGTGGCAGAGCAACGTCTTGTAGGACCACGCATGTTGCCAGCAACCCTCTGGTTCC